ACTGCGTTATTTTGATTCTCTGCCTGTCTCTGGGCACCTGAAATGTGTAGGCTGCCCTCGATTTCTTTGGTTATTTGCAGTTCATTTTGAGGCCTTTGAACTGATTTTTGCACATACAGTGAAAATGAAATTTGATTAAAATTAACCTCAAATTGGGGTCTCCAGTGTTAAAATTCACTCAGTAAAATGCATCACAACCCCCCCCCAAAAACTAGTGTTTCTTGGGTTTACTAATATATAATACCTGTGTAGGATTAAAGTACCTTCAGGATTACAGCAGTGTATTTCCACAAATTCAGCTGTCATAGAAAGAAAGGGACTAATCGATAAACATTTACAGAAATGTGACAAAATAAAGTTTATCAGGTTGTTCGGACATGATGTTCCACCCAAACTGCATCAGTAACTTTGACTGTAAAAGCATCTTGAACCCTACTAGAAGGGATGGAAAGATATTCCCTTAATGAGCGTTTATGGTGATAACATAAAGCTCTGTCTAGCAGATTCGTCCAAAATCCTCAATAGCTGTGCAGTTGTGTTGAGAGCTGTTCCCTGCAAGGGCCACACCATATGATTTACATCATTTTCATACTTGCCAAACTAGTCAGTTAGCCCACATAGATCATGGAGAGTGCATTGTCATCCTCTCTTTTAAAAGGTTTCATAAAAAGTGATAACTCAGAACAGTTTATCACTGTTTTGCAGTGATCCTTCCTCTTAAGGAGACAAGTGGATAGATAAACAGATCCACTCTATCCCCTTACTAAAGGGCTTAAGGTAACGAGTGGGGGACAGAAAAACTTCTTACAGAAGACGTTACAGGTCTGTGAGAGCCAGAGATTTTCCTTGTTTGAGGTGACCAAATACTTATTTTCCACCCTGATTTACGAATAAATTCTTTACAAATCCTACCATGTGGATTCATGGATTTTTTTTTTCACATTCTGTCTCTCACAGTTGAAGTGTACCTCTGGTGCAAATTACTGACCTCTGTCATCATTTTAGGTGGGGGAACTTGCACAATCGGTGGCTGACTAAATACTTTTTTGCCCCACTGTATGTTTGTCAAGCTGATGAGACCCTTTTCATTTTATAGGATTTGGAGACCCTCGGACGGGGTTGGGAAACAGTTCTCGTTTGGGCATGCATGCTGCTCTACACGTGTACATGAACGGATCCATGTCTTCAGTGCAGGGCTCTGCGAACGATCCCATATTTCTGCTTCATCATGCGTTTGTTGACTGGTGAGAGACAGAAACACCTTAAAAACACAGAAAACCGTACATTTGCACTCAATGCTTGAACTTAACACTGGTACTGTATTTGTTTTTGTCCCTGTTAGCCTTTATGAGCAGTGGCTCAGGAGGCACAGACCATCTCCATCCCAGTATCCGGAGTCAAATGCTCCTATAGGGCACAACAGCGAATACCACATGGCACCAATCCTACCTCTGCACAGGAACAGAGACTTCTTCATTTCCAGCAAAGACCTGGGATATGAATACACCCACCTGCTAGATGCTAGTGAGTTACCCTATGATCGCCTATGCCAGTTCCTTCTTCTTCTTATTGTTCTCGTCTCCACTCATTGAATTTTGCCCTTAGGGGCTTAGGTCATTTACTTATCTTGGTTTATTGAAACCTAAAAAGTAAACTCTACTGTTTTGCCTACTTTGACATAACCAGCTATGTCCTCTTTGCAGGTCAAAAGCTAGCAGAATCATTGCACCCTTCCCTCGACGAGTTGCGGGACGTGTGGCCGTGGCTGCTTCTTGCAGGGCTTTGTGGAGGAATTTTGACAATAGCCATAGCTGCTGCGGTCCTAACTACAAAACGATGGTACAAAGGATCATCCTGGTTGCGTGCTAGAAGCTGGAAACATGCATTTGCTCTCCCTGAAAGACAACCACTTATCCGGAGCAATGAAATAGAGGAAACCAACCAACATAACTACCAAACAACTATGTGAAGGCAAAGCCTGTCTAGCTTAGCCTTATCGATCTATGAATTTTAATATAAAAGCACTGTGAATTTTTACTTTGAACTATATGCTAACTAAAAACAACTTCTATGATATCTGATATTTCCAATATATTTAACTGTATTACAAGTGGGAATAAAAACCTGTGCATGCAGTAACTTTCAAAAATGGATTATGGGCCATGTTAAGCTTTAAACATGTTCCTCCTACAACTGGTATCTTGTCAAACTCTACCAAGAAGATCATTTCTGACATGGTCTTTACAACGTTTATGGATTTTTTCAAGGGGCTGTTCCACAGTGACTCGTCACATTTATTCTCTAGATTTCATACAGTTTAGTTGATTACCTTGAAAATCAGGTCTGGAGTGTGTTGCATCAGCCATATATACACAAACATTTATTATGGTTTATTAAAAGCATGTCATGTGCATATATACACAACTGCAATTCAGAGTAAAGAGAAAAGTGTTTCATCAGAGCCTTTTTTTTTCTTTGTTATGTTTATGTGGGAGTTGACTGAACCACATTTTGATTAATGTTTGAATTGATTCATGTTTGTAATGTGAAAAATGTTTTTTGGAAGAGAGAGAGAAAAAGTTTTATCTGCTTAAAAGTGAAGAACCGAGACTTCAACAGCAACGGGATTAGGTTCAGATTTCTAACCTATGACGAATGCAATAGATTAAAAAAAACACAGTGACATTTGTAAAAGTCCTTGCAATTCCAAAAGTCGATGCAGTTCAAAAGCTTCTTTTGAAAGGTCACACCTACTTTTATCTAAAAAAAAAAAAAAAGCATTCAGCTTCCCACACTCGTTCACTCATGAAAGAGTGTGAGATTAAAACAAAACCCTGTTCTGCATATGTTATACACCCATACGCCAATTTATTAGGTACACCTATTCAGTTTCTTGGCAACGCTAATATCTAATCAGCCAATCACATGGCAGCATATCAATGCATTTGCGGATGTAGAAATTGGTCAAGATGTCCGGTTTGAAGTTCACAGCGTGCATCAGAAATGGGTGGAAGGAAACATGAGTTTAAATCATCTGTGTGAAACAGAAATATGCTTTTGTTCTGTAGCTATGAGACTGAATGTACACTTGCTGACCACTTAAATAAGGTACATCTCTTTATTTATTTATTTTATGCATTTAGGCATTTAGACATAGCAAAGGTGACCTGCTGAAGTTCAAACCGAGCATCTGAATGGTGAAGAAAGGTGAAATAAGGATTAAATGACTTTGAATGTGTCATGGTTGATGGTGCCAGACATGCTGATGTGAGTGTTTCTGAAACTGCTGATCTACTGGGATTTTCCCTGCACAACCATCTCTAGGCTTTCCGATGCTTTCAGAGAATGGTTGGGAAAAAGAAAATGAGTTCCAATGAGCTTTGCCAAAAAATGCCTTGTTGACATCAGAGGTCAAAGGAAAAGACTAGTTCAAGCTATTAGGAAGGTAACAGCAATTTAAATAACTATATTACAAAACAGGGTATGCAGAAGGGCACTGCTGAATGCACACGTTAAACCTTAAAGCAGATGGGCTACAGCAGAATAGAATAGAATAGCCTTTATTGTCATTGTACAGAGTACAACGAAATTGGAGTGCCACTCCCTTGGTGCAAGATTCAATAATAAATATAAATGTAAAATATAAAAAGTACAATAAAACAATCGCAAGTACTCAAACAATAGTAAGTACGATATATACAGGATAGCAGCATTAATATAATGACAGTATGAATAGCAGCATGATATAATGGCAGTGACGGTACGGTATAGCTAAGCAGGTTCAATTGTTTTTGTGCTTATTTACTATGGTGATAGCTCTGGGAAAGAAGCTATCCCTGAATCTGCTTGTCCTGGTTTTATGTGACCTGCACCGTCGGCCTGACGGTAATAGTTCAAACAGTTGATTGCTGGGGTGAGAGTGGTCCTTGATGATATTGCCAGCTCTGCTGAGGTACCGAGAGTTTGCAGTGACCTCCAGGCTGGGCAGAGAGCAGCCAGTGATCTTCTGGGCTGTGTTGATGACCCTCTGCAGTACTTTCCTGTCCACAGCTGAGCACCCTGCATACCATGTTGTTATGCTATACGTTAGGATCCTCTCTATGGTGGCTCTGTAAAATGTCACCAGCAGCCTCTCCTTCAGGTTGTTCCTCCTGAGCACTCTCAGAAAGTGGAGACGCTGCTGGGCCTTTTTTTACCACCGCCATGGTATTTGCAGTCCAGGAGAGGTCATCAGAGATCTGCACGCCCAGAAACCTCATGGAGTGTACCCTCCACACAGTTCCCATGAATGTAAAGTGGGGCCGGGTCTTCTCTGCCCTTCCTGAAGTCCAAGATAAGTTCTTTAGTTTTCGTGGTGTTCAGTTGGAGGTTGTTAACTGAACACCACTCAGTCAGTCTGTTGACCTCATCTCTGTAGTCCAACTCATCCCCCCTTGAGATGAGTCCAACCACTGTGGTGTCATCCGCGAACTTTATGATTGTGTTTGAGAGATGGGTAGGGGATCAGTCGGATGTGTAGAGCGTAAACAGGAGGGGACTCAAAACACATCCTTGTGGAGACCCGGTGCTGAGTGCCCTGTCTGAGCAGCAGACAGGGTCACTGCTGTGAGCCAAGAATGGCTAGTTTTATGTTGGCAAACTTTGAGTCTATTAGTACCAAGTGATAATTGTTCAAATACCACAGCCTACCTGAGCGTATCCACCCTCTGATGGACACTTCCAGCAGGATAACACATCTCATCACAAACCTCAAATTATCTCACACCGGTTTCTTGAAAATAGCAACGCGGCCTCAATTTAATAGAGTACCACTGGGATGTGGTGGAATGGAAAATTCACATTATGCTTGTACTGATGCAATCATGTCAATATGAACCAAAATATCAGGAGGGTTTCCAGGTCCTTGGTGAATTTATGCCATGAAGAATAAAGGCTGTTCTGAAGGCACAAGGTTTATTTAGCAAGGTGTATATGTTAGAATTCAAACCATAGACAACCACTCCAGTTTTAAAATGTAATCTCAGAAGTTTATTTATTTTTTGGTCAGACAAACTGGTTCCCTTTCCTAGAACTTTACTTTTCCATTGCTTCTCCTTTTGCCAAATAACACTTCATACAATCTAAGCCTAGACACATGCTTTCTAGCATAGCATTTTATGATACAATATTTTGCTTAAAATACTTTGTATTTAATTGGCATTACAGTACATCCTCATTAAAACCACACTACTTTGTTTTGACAAGAAATAAGATAAATACAGTATCTGAAAGCAAAACTTGTACAAAATTTACATTGAGTGTAGTGAAGTAAAAAACATAATTTGGAGCAAATTTACAATTTTTACTGAGAAAAGTATGGATAGTTAGAGTGCATCTCCAAAGTATATCTCAAGATAATTCAGCTGTGATAGTTCTCGTCTCACAATTGATTCAGAATACATTTCATAAAACACAAGTTTGGATAACATATTGATGTAAGCGGACAAATCAAGACAATCCGGGGCAGCTTTTTGGTCTGATGTATTAAATTTATGAAAAACAAAATTGATTTTATTCCTGAAAATATGAGATCTGGTCACAGCCACGGTCCATTAGTGTGACATGGGTCTGCATGGGTGTGAAAGTGAGCAGAATTAAAACTGACAACTTATTTTAAGGCATGATGTAATTTTCCAGGGACTTCAGTGCAATTTAGCTGGGACTTGACTGGAAGCCTGCTGAAACTCAGTTTTTAAATCACTGTGGAAAAAAAAATTATATATTAAAAAAAAAAATAACAAAAGATTCTGTTACTACAAGTTGACCCCCCCCCCTGAAAAAAACCCCCACAAGGGAGGGAGGGAGAAAAATCAAGTTCTTTAATTTGAAAAACAAAAACACTGATGTTGTCAAAGAAAGGCTAAAGTTAAAGAGGTAACGAATTAACTGTGAGGCATGTGACCTTGGGTTCAGTTAAACATACACACCGTGTCTTTATTTTCAATCTTATCAGTCATCTTCATCTTCATCCTCGTCCTCACTGTCAGATTTTTGCTTCTCGCTCTCCTTGGGTGGAGCAGGAGGAGGAGGAAGGTCCAGACGGGCCCAGGACATCGCCTCGGACTTCTTCATGGCTACCTCGATCTTGGCCGCCATCATGTTCACCAAACTTTTACTCACGTCTATCACCTGCAAGACAAAAGACTCCGTTAACAAACAGGGTGCGAAAGAAAAAAAATTAATTAAAAAAAATTTAAATTTGCTATTTTTCTTGTTGGTTTCAATTACATCACAATTAAAGAAAATAAATGAGTTCAAACTGAATGAAATGTAGTGCAGACTAATAACATAATAATAAATAAGACTTACTCCCCAAAGGCTGATTTTCTGCTCAAATTCCTTCTCTCCATCAAATATAATGTGTATGTCGAGCTGAAGGAGAAAAGCAAAAATCAGCATTAGATAATAAGAAGGAAAAAAATCCAAACCCAAGATGTTTTGATATGAAGAGGAACGATCGGATAGACTCACCGTAGTGCTGTTGGCATCCACATAGCTTAGCTCTGGGACTGCATTCTTGGCATAGATAGAAATGATGACCTGCGTCCCAGTCTGGTGCCAGTCAAACCGACACGGGACCACCTTCTTACCCTGTAAAGAATTTTCATACAAGACAAATGTTCAAATTCAGCTCTTCAGCCTCTGCCAGCAGACACCACTAGATGGAGTCACAGGTGAGTTTCCTTTATGCAGGCCTGCACACATAAATGATTACTTGCTGCCAAGCTGGCACACCTACCGCATCTTTTTTCCTCCATAGATGTGTTCCCTTTGTACAGCCCTCTTGAGAGAGGAAGGTATTAAAGTCTGAGGTTTTCCTTTTACAGCAGCTCCAGTATTTCATCCTGGAGATGCAGGAAAGATATAACACCTGCTGGATTTTTAGCAGTCAATAACTTGTCACTCAAGAGAAAAGGTAAACAAGACTAACAGGAGAATCATAATGGTGCCTTCATGTTTCTTTTACAGAGAGCAGATCTAATATTCCGCATTAATGTAAGAAACACATTTGGAAAGGAATCGGGTGAATTTAACACTCTCTACATAATAATTTGAAAACGCGATAAGTAATACTAACCCTTCGTGAAAGATGGGAAATCCAGCATGGTATAGGCACACATCCGAATCACTTGCAGGTCCTTCAAAACTCTGAGGATAACAAGAACAGTTGAGCCCTCAACAAACACAAACACTTTTTTTGCTTTTTTGTCAGGCGAAAAAATGCAAATGAGGCAATTAGCTCTTTTTTAACCATTAAATGTCTTGAGTTAAAGTTTAAGAATTCCAACTTTGTTACTTCAACTCTTGTTGAGTCTGAAGGCACCCAACAACAACTTCCTCAACTGTCCTGCTTATAAAAATCTAAAGCTCAGCGGGGGAAATAATTATTTGATGCCCCGCTGAATTTGGAAGTTTGCTCACTGAAAAGAAATAAACAGCCTCCAATTTTTATAGTAGTTTCATATTTAATGGAGAGAGACAGAATATCAACCATAAATCCATGGAAACAAACAAACAAAAAAATCCCACATTACATAAAAGTTAGAAGTGATTAGAGTGTAATTCTAATTAGAATTAAGTATTTTATTCTGATACTGTCAAATGTTGGACGAGAACCTCCTTCAATCAGCCAGAACACTGAAGATGAATATTCCAGAATTACAAAGACCCAAAATATAAAGCTAACACAACAAAGGAGTGGCTAGCTGGTCTTTATACCCCAGTCCTATAGAAAATCTATGGAGAGAGCTGAAGCTTGGAGTTGCTTATTAGGAGCATAGAAAACAAAAGGACTGAGTTTCTGTAATAAGGCGTGAGAAAAAAAAAAAAATCACTTCTGAGATATGTGCAAACCTGGTGACCAAATACAGGAAACATCTTACTGCTGTGCTTGCCAACAAGGGTTTTTCCACAAAGTACTAATTCATGTGTTTTGGGGGAGATTAAATACTTTTTTCACCCAATGACATTCAAAAACAATTTAGAACTTTTATGCATTTTTTTTCTGGAAATGACAGTCTCTTAATTACTTTGCAACTCAGCAAACGATCATTTCCACTGTAATAGTCTATGTACCAATGTTTTAGAAAAATAGTTCCTGCTAAAAAAGTCCAAAAAAGTACCAATCCAGGCTTCTACAAAGACCCAATCTTATGGATAAACTAAAAGCAAGAAACCCTTGAGAAAATGTGTTGTGGCTTTCAAGCAAACAAGTTAAAGTACAATTATGTAAATCACTACAATCCCACTCTAAGCTTCTACTACGCATGTCAATGACAATTTTACTCACAATTTCTGTTCTAATCTTAGAGTTTCTGCTCTGACAGACTCGATTAGCTTGAGCCCCCAAAAACTTAGCTTTATATCTATCTCAGAGAAAATGCAGAGACAGAGGAAAAAGATCCACTTCCCCCTTTTCAGAGAGCAGTTTTGCAATACTATTTATCACGAACAACTCGGAATTACACATATACTTACAAAGAAACAATACAACCTATGAAACAAATGTGACTTCATACATTAAAGCTGCTGTTAGTACTTACTTTAGTACAGCCTCCGTTTTTACAGGACGTTCCAATTTTGATCTCGTCACTTTCTTCCTCTATAAAGACAAAATAATTGAGCCCATGAAGAAAATTATAAAACAGTACATTGACTCTTATGAAGCTTTAACTCAAATTCTATTATGTGAATGACACAGACGATGGCAGCTTCCCAGCAGAAGTCCTACTGACACCATCACCTTTCTGTCTAAAATGTAAGAGGTAATGAGAGAAACAGAAAAATACAAAAAACAAATTCAGCTCTTACCTTTTGTCTCTTCAGCATTTTCAGTTAGTTTAAGTTTCTCCAGTGCCTGCTTCAGAGATGCAGAGACTTTATGCTGCAATCTCACCGCTGGCTCATCAGGACTATAACAACAAATATATATATTAAAATACTATAAGGAAAACAAAACAAAAATGTGCTTCTGTGTGCAGTAATCATTTGGAAGGGTGATTTTTGGTGCAAACCCAATCTAGGATCTATACTCTGCTTGAGAAGGGCTTTAATATTTCAGTGTTAAGTGCTTGAGCCTGTCCACTTTCTTTTAACAGTGGGGGAAACCACCCAGGTTATAAAACAAAACCCCAAACCTTGGTAAGAACACTTCAGAGTATCCCGTTGATGCTTAGCTTAGCATTGAAGATTTAAGTCCTAAAAATACCCCGTAAACAGAGCTTATTTTTCATGACAATTTAGTTGCCTTGACTTTAGATTTAACCAAACAGTAATCCGTTCAGCCTTAGGTCCAAGTGCAACACAGAACACACACACACACAAAAAAAAATGACAACACAGAAACATGATGCCTCCAGAAATGGCTATCGCTCACATGAAAGCATTAAAAAACATAAAAATATGGCTGATGCCAACCTTGGTCTGCATATCGCCTCCTGAGGTTTCGGTGCAGAGATGATGTACTCATTAAACTTTGGCTTTTGGTCCTCTAACTCCTTCTTTTCTCCTGAAGATGTCACATCTGGTTTCACCGGCTCAGGGGGCTTCTCTTTGTTGTGGGGACCTTTTGTACAGCCCTGTGAGGAGAAGGTCACCGTGTTGGACTCGCACAAAATAAAAGCTCAGGCTGTTTTGGCCATGGCAAAGGTGCCAGTCAATAACTATGAAACAACAGACAACAGAGACATCACCATGGAGAATAGAGCAGAGAAAACGACTAAGGTTAAACAGAGAACTTACAACAATGCTGAGGAAGTCTGAGAAGTCAGTAGTTCTTCTCTTGCAGCAAGACCATCCCTGAAGGAAATAACAGAAACATTAGCTTTGATCAAATAACAGGAAGAGGACACAAGCTAGCTGTGCATTTTCGGGTGCTTTACCTTCAAGGCATCGTGGAATACTGGGACTCCTGGATGATAGGTGCAGCCATCTGTGAAAACAAAATGCATCTTTGATTAACTTTGGGGAGAAATCGTGTAGTTGTGGGAACAATGACTGTTTACAAGTCTGCTCTAAATAGCCGCTGTGGAAAAGTGTACGTTTGTTTTGAAAAATGCTGACTGTAGTTGTAGAAAAGTAGCCCGAACGCTTTAGGGAGCTTTATGTAATGATGGGTAGTTTGCAGTCAAGTTTGGCCACTCAGAGTATTTATTAAAAGGTACTCAGAATGATTTAAAGACATAATGCAAAAAATTTGAACTGACATTCTAATATGTGCATATGTAAACTGTAGGATTAAAACAACAACAACAACAACAAATATACCAATAACTACAAGAAGTGTTTACCGGAAAGACAGAATGGCATGAACATCCTTAGTGTTCAAAAAACAAATTTTTATTACTTGAGCAATCTACAAAGCACAAAGTACAATATATACATACACATTTAACCAATATATTAAAATGAGTATGACTATTTGAAAATAACAGATTTGTGATGCACTTTAGTCACACTACCATCATCATTATTTGAGGTTTTACTGTAACTCGTATTCTATTTTCATCATCTACTCTTTAAAAATAAATCGCTGCAGAACGAATAAAGGAAATTGGCCGGTGGGTAGGGCTGGGCGATATATCGAGTTTTTAAAAAATATCGATATATTTTCATACGAGATATAAGATGTGACAATATCGTTTATATCGATATAGTCTATGTTACGTTACAATTATACTTGTGGAGCCGCAGGTTTGCCTCTCTTTCGTCCACTTTTGTCTCTACGCAACGTTACTCGGCCTCGCCTCTCCTGCACTGAACACAACTCCCCCATAGCTTCACCTGCAGGCAATGACAAGATGAAAGCGGAAAATCTCCGTTAGCGAGTTACCGTGCATGGGGCTGGATGGCGTCAACGTGTTAGCGAGCTAACCGCGCTAACGACATGCAGCCCAGAGGGACTGCACGGCCTAAAATCCTTTCCTTTTCTCAAAAATCGACAGTGCGCCTTATGTATGAATTCTGGTTGTGCTTACTGACCGCGAACCGATTTTATGTGGTACACAGCGCTCAGCAATCTGTCAAAAAATGTTTTAATATGACTTTGCTAAGCTACGGAGCTGCACCGCTTGATGGATTGTCGGAGAATTACGGCTACAGAGGAGGAGCCTCGCGGAGTGATACGTACTGTGTGTGTATAAGGATGGCACCTGTTCAGAGACGTGGTACAGCTGTGAAATCTGTCTCTTTGTTATTATGCTCAGCGTCTATTAGTTTACATTTTGACTGCACAATTGTGAGCTTTTTGTTATGCACAAAAACAACATTGTTTTCTTTTATTTATGGACCATGATTATTTAATATATGCTGATAATTTATTTTTGAGTAATATCTACGCTGTATGTAAATAAAAGTGCCCGTGTGACATCTGGGACACAGTGTGACTAAGAACTCTCTTTTTGTTCTTAACTTATGGCTTAAAAAAAAAAAAAATCGAGATATATATCTTATATCGCCATCCAGCTAAAAAAATATCGAGATATGAATTTTGGGTCATATCGCCCAGCCCTACCGGTGGGTACCATAAATCAAGCATTTTCCCTGTAGTACAGCCGGAGCTGTGCCCAATCTGTGCTTCCTGACTTTGACACACCTCTTGCATACCTCTGAAGGTAAAGATAATATACTCTACCGTTATGAGAAAATTAGCATCCCATTAAAATGGAAATCAGACTGGACTCCTACACAGGGGGTGTACACAATGTTAGATTACTTGAGGATAGAGGTGGACCATTCTAAAGAAAGGAAATAAGTCACGTTGAGGTTTCTGTCGTGGGAGCTGAAGACAAAATTGCGATCTTGAATTTTATTTATTTATTTTTCAATGTGGCTTCATATAAACACAAACAACACATCTGTTACAAGGAGAATGGTGTGGCTTATAATGACAGCGATCGTCTTCCTACTCCACAGTATTTGTGGGTTTTGTAAGGTGACTGAAAATGCACATTTTTTAAAGAAGACAAAAAAGGGTAGAATTTAATTAGTTATCCTTTACATGCATGAAATATTAATAATCACAAATTCACCATATGTCAAATAAAAACTGGACTTTAACTGTATAACAGGCTGGAAACACCAACTGATCTTTGGGCCTCCTTTAAATTTTTAAGGTCTATGTCGTAGATCTATATTTTGCTAAAATTTAAAAAAGGTGTTTACATGTACCTCTTCTGGGTACATGCAAACACATCATGTTTGCCTGTGTAAAATGTCCTGATTTCTAACTGGTTGCTCCACCTGCTCTCGCTTTCACATATCGATGTTTAGCTGCTGGCAGTGAACACTCTGGGCTCAAAACACAGTTTGGCTTCCCTCAAGGGTAAGCCTGGCAGTCAGAAAAAAAAGATAATGATAAATACATTGCACTTCTTTTCATTCACTGTGTGTATCGCGGAGGAAGTAGTTTCCCCCTACTAATTTTACATCTTTGACTGTCAAGGGAAGACATGCGGGATATACAACTGCTTATTGAAACATGCTCCAAGTACAGAAAACACTATCAAATATAGAAACCATGTAGGCTAACCAGCAGATGGAGTATCATCCGAGTTATGAGAATGATTATTAGTTCAACTTCCAACATCAGGGTCAGACAGCCAACCTCAGTAACCCCAAAAGTCACAAGGGAGCTCATCGCTTTTAGTTGGTGCATGTCAGAGTGTTATCTGTGTTTGTAACTGATTTAATCACAAATACGTTTCATAATACAGAAGCACTTGTTACCTAAATGTGCATGTATTTACTTGTATTTTAAGGTTAGCCCCCCTTCCCTCCCCGTTGTTGTGCTGGTATTTTTTAAGGCTTTTCTTGTATATATTTTCTTGCACACTGTGGTGACTCTTTTAATAAGTAGTTAACTGCCTACTGGTCCCACTTGTCTCTTCAGTTTTCTCTTTAAATTGTTTGCATTGATTATGGAAAGCAGTTAAAAGCGAGCTAGCATCTACTTTCTTCTAAAGCCAAGTGGAAAAGTTCAACGACTCACAATAATTAATAATTCAGTCACATAATTACCAGCCGGATGAACTAAGATCACTATAAGGGATGCCGATTGTAAGCAAGTGATTAAAACTTCCAACGTTGAATTGAAAATGTGACTGCCGCATTCACACTACTTGTATGGCTACACATGTAACGTTGTATACGTGAATAACGATCTTTAGATACTTTATGTGGAAGGAACCGGCTTTCTGAAACTTTAAACCGCTTACAGCGTCCGCACAACCGTCCCGCAAAGTCTAACGTTGCCTTTTAATCGCAGGAGCTTAACATGCTAACTACAGCATGATAAAACTAACTCACAGAGGGCCCGTGTGTTATTTATCAGATATAAAACGAAGGAAACGAATGAATTAAGTTGAACAGCTAACTGACATAAGGTTAGCAACACGGGCCCATCGGGCCTGCTCACGGTAGAAATTTCCAGATGATGAGAGGTTAGCTTGCTAACACTCAGGGAACATACAATGGACATCGATAGTAAAGTAAGACCACTCACCGGCTGGGTTATTTTCTGGATCAAATCGTTGTCCACATCCCTTATTATAACACAAAACAGACATAGTGACTGGTGGGAGAAGTACAACGAATGATCAGATTTCTAACTAACCACTACAGAGCTCGTGTGTCAGAGAGCTCGCCGCCGTTTGCTTTAAGGTGTTGAACATTACACTTCCGGATGTTGTCGGCTGCACTCGGCAAAGATCGGCGCTTGCCCGCCACCACCTCCAGCCTGTGAGCGCACTCCGGTCCCACACAGGCGACAGCTGATGCTGGCCGCTTCCAAACTTGCAATAAGCGACATCTTCTCTGGTTCACATCTCTCTCGGACTTTAACCTTATAGAAAACGAATGTAGAACTTATCTAATCTTAGTTTGGTTGTAACTATTGCAAATGCAAGCCGGGATAGCCCTCTGCACTCAGGCTTACAGTTATCAGGTGCATGGAACGGGGGCAATAGCTATATAGTTTTACGAGGATAGCTGCAGTGTACTAGATAACTGCCTATCGGGATATATCTAAAGGCTTTTTTTCGCGCATCCATAAGCGGCCATTTTGCCTTTCTTTCTTTTCTTTTTTGTAATTATTGAGTGAGAATGGGACAGGATTTAATTTCACTGATTGCATCGGTTTCATCTAAAGGTAGGTCACTTTGCAATGTGTAAGTGAAGTCTGTACAAATGTATGCAGTACCGGTACTTAAGCGACACACTGTAGCAACAAAGTGTAAGTTAATAAACTCGTGGATTTTGCAGAGACGCGTTTCACTGGATTACTGCAGGACACGATTGTGCAGATCTCCCGGCATAGCCTCTCAGCAGGGATGTTGATGTTAAATCGCTGGATTGTGATTGAAGATTTATTTATTTATTTATTTATTGCTGGTACAGTCCTATCTATAGATCCGATATATTTCAGTGTTTCTCGAAGTTGAGTCACGATCATGTAGAGACAGCAATAAAAATTTGTAGGCAACAGAAGAAGAAAAGATTTTTAAACTTCTTTGTTTTTATTATTTTGCCCTTTTTGTTGTCTGACACTTGTTAAATTGGTTTTTTAATTGGTTGTCTGTGCTTTCACAATGATGTGTTTGTTGTAATTATGTTCTACTTTCTGAAAATATCACAGCCCTGCTTGTCTCTGTTAAAGGAGTCTTTATTATTATGACCCCTGTTATTTTATTTAGATGACATGATGTGTTTCTGTGAGACTGTGCAAATGAGCTGTGGTTTGAAGTTGATTCGTTGCTTCACAGCCTTTCTCATTGTTTCAATGCAAAGTGTGAGCATCATCATATCAATGTAGTGATAATAACTCCCTCTAAAATGTTTTTGTGCCTGATCATCCAAAGTTTTTTTTTTTTTTTATCAGCAGAACACACATTCCTACTGAATGACCAACTAAAATCAAGTCCTTTATTTTAATTGTGATTCTTTCCAAATACAGGGTGACTGGATGATGGGATAGTGATGAAGCCCAATCGGTGGGGAAATATGCACCCCCTGCCCAGCTTCTCTCTTCCTTTCCTTTTTATTTTCTTTTTCTTCTTCCTCTTCATATGTTTCCACTCAACCCGTGCCCAGCTTCTGACAGATTCTAGAGCAGGGCAACGCTTGCTGCTCTTCACTCAGCCTGCATATAATGTGTCCATTTTTGAGAACTCTGCTGCAAGAACCTATACCAAAAGTGAAGCCAAAATGGGCATCATTCTCGGGCCACCTTGGTCTTTTGAGATAAAATACTCCATTGTGTTGGGAGACAGTGAAGGCATCTTTCAGGCTGAAGATTTTGTAATGGGAGATTTTTGTTTTCTCCGCATATGCACTAATGGAGGTAGTGGTGCTATACTGAATCGGGAAGTACAGGATAATTACACTCTGACAGTTAAGGCCTCGGCCCCAGGAGGCCTAGAGGCTTTAACCACTGTTTATATCAAGGTCTTGGATACAAATGACCTTCGACCTCTATTTTCCCCAACTTCCTACGCATTTGTTGTTTCTGAGAGTGCCCCTCTGGGTGCCAGCATAGGACGTGTGACAGCCACAGATGCTGACGTAGGCTCGAATGGAGAGTTTTACTACTTTTTCAAGAATAAAATAGATCTTTTTGCTGTTCATCCGACGAGCGGGGTCATCACCCTGACTGGTCGACCAAGGATGGACAAACAGGACCGATTTGAGCTGGAGGTACAGGTGGTTGACAGAGGGATGAAACTCTATGGGAACAGTGGTATCAGCAGCACAGCAAGGCTTGTACTAACTGTGCAGCGAGTAAATGAATTTGCTCCCGTTCTTAGTGCAGTCGCTGTTGTTCCATCGTGGGAAGAAAAGAATCCCGTGTATGCAGTAATTAATGTGGAGGACAAAGATGAAGGAATATCCGGAGATATAGAGTGGGTGTCCATCATTGAGGGGGATCCCTTCGAGCAGTTTGTGGTTGATCGTTCGCCTGTTGGGAATGAGTACAGAGTTAAAACGTCGGAAGCTGTCAGCTGGGATACATTCCCCTATGGCTGCAACTTAACATTTCAGGCCAAGGACAGAGGTATGCCTCCCAAGTTTTCTAATACCCAAATTGTTCAGTTGTTGGTTACAAAACCGGACCCAGTGATGGCGAGTTTTGAAAAAGATGTTTATATAGTCACGCTGAGTGAAATCGCTCCCCCAGGCTCTGTTATAGCGGTGGTGAAAATATCCCCGGCTCCTCTGAGAGTCAATTACAGCTTCAGCAACCCTTCAGATCCAGTGTACTTTGATATAAACCCTTTGACTGGAGTTATTATGACCACCAGGCAGCTTACAAGGATATCACAGGATTTCATGGTGATGGAGGTAGTTGATATGATAAGTGAGCAGCGAACAAGTGTCCAAATTCAAATCGAGGATGCTAATGACAACTCTCCAGTGTTCAACAAGCCATTCTACAATATTGTCGTCAACGAGAGCGTACCTGTAGGTACTGTTGTCCTTGTGGTCTCTGCTGTGGATGATGATAAAGGGGAGAATGGGTATGTAAGTCACACTATTAGTGGTGAACAGTCTCTTCCATTTAGCATAGACCAGAAAACAGGGGAGGTGAGAATTACTAGAGATCTGGACTTTGAATCATCAGATGATATCTACACTTTCGCAGTGCGTGCCTCTGACTGGGGTTCACCCTACAGAAGGGAGAGTGAGGTTAATATCACCATACGTGTAATAAATATCAACGACAATCAGCCTCTTTTTGAGAAGGTTTCTTGCAGAGGGATGATAAGCCGTGATTTCCCTGTCAACCAGACTGTTGTCACCTTGTCAGCAATTGACATGGACGAGCTAGGACTAGTTGAGTACAAGATACTCTCTGGGAATGAGTTAGATTATTTTAACTTAAATCCAGACTCTGGGGCTTTGTCACTGAAAAGATCGTTAGCAGTGGATAGTTTAAAAAGTGGTGTATTCAACTTCAAAGTTGTTGCAACAGATGGAGAGATGTTCTCTGATCCCACATTTGTGAATATATCAGTGGTGAGGGGTAGGATTCCCCCCAGAGGGTTCAACTGCAAAGACACAAGGGTAGCCCAGCTTTTGGCAGAAAAAATGCTCTCAAAGGCATCTGCTATGGCTAGACCGAGACCAGATGAGAGCTACACAGATATTTTCTCTACGAACAAACAGCCTCCACAGTTTGAAGCCTTGCCTACAAGCATTCTCGTGAGAGAAGACCTCATTCCCGGTGCCAGTGTATTTCAGGTGCGAGCGCGAGATGGTGACACAGGCTTTAATGGCCGCGTTCTCTTTTCCATTTCTGATGGTAACAAAGAAAACTGCTTCAATATAAACATGGAGAGTGGGCTGATAACTATACTGCGGCCACTCGACCGTGAACGAGTGGATCGTTACTTCCTTAATATCACCATCTATGATCAGGGCATTCCTCAGATGTCCAGTTGGAGATTACTGACAGTGATCATTGAGGATACAAATGACAATGACCCTCAGTTTTATCAGGACAGCTACTCTGCCCTTGTTTCAGAAAACTCAGCCATTGGCATGGAGGTTATAACCATCACTGCATTTGACAGAGACATGGGTCAGAATGGACAGCTCTCCTATATAATGCTCACCAGTGTTCCTCAGTTTGGGATTGACAGTGAAACTGGAAGTGTATTTGTTGCTAGCCAGCTGGATAGAGAAACATTTCCAATATTCATATTGAAGATTGAAGTCAGAGACATGGCTGAAAGAGGCACTCGAAGGTCCTCAGTGACTACTCTAAGTGTAATCTTGGAGGATGTCAATGATTGCGCTCCAGCTTTCATCCCTACCAGCTATAGTGCTCAAGTACTAGAGGATCTCCCGCCCGGGACTGTGATTACCTGGGTGCAGGCTCAGGACCCAGACATTGGACCTGGAGGACAAGTTCGATATTCCTTAATCAATGACTTTAATGGCACTTTTGAGGTAGGTGATGACACAGTGTGAACAGAATCTTGCACACGTTAAGATTTTTATTTTTACATTTATTGAAGTATAGATTGTTTATGATGTAATTCTTTTTTATAGATCGGTCCTATAAGTGGGGTATTGAGAATTAGAAAGGAGTTGGACTTTGAGAAACAACAGTTTTTCAACCTGACGCTGCTTGCTGAAGACAGAGGAATCCCCAGCCTTAGGAGCCAGACGTTTGTGGAGGTAGAGGTGCGTAGCACACATGCTCAAATATTCCACATCTCAGGGATCACCATAGCAGATCATCTGCCTCTATCTCACCCTATCCCTAGCACCTGTCACATCAATCCGCTACATGTCCTCCTTTACTTCATCCATAAATCTTGTGTGTGATCCTAACTGGCAACTCCATATCTAACATCCTTTGTAAAATAATTTCATCATCCCTTCTCTCCACACATCTAAACAGTCTCAGTCTTGCCTCTCTGACTTCGCCTCCAAACTGCTTAACCGGACCCGTTCCTTTGACATGCTTTTTTCTAATCTTGTCCATTCTGGATACTCCCAGTGCTCTTCAGCTCTGCCACCTCCAGCCCTGCCTCCCAAATGCAAATAATCAATTTTGTCAGCTTACATTATTATCAATAATTTGGGGTGTTAAGGTTCCAGTCTTTTTGTTAGTGCCACCGTCTCCAAACCATACATCAAAACAGGTCTCGCTACCATTTTGTGAACCTTCCCTTTAACTCTTATTGTTATTCTTCATTGGCAAATCACCCCTGAGGCTTTTC